GGCCACAATAATCACACTGACAAGAATCCCCCTGTTTACGCTGATCTGGGGCACCGTGACGACGCTGGTCCGAGCGCTGCCCACCCCTGACTGAGGATCCTGAACGAGATCCTGCAACAGCTGCAAGAGTCATATGATCAATCGGAGGAGTCAAGGCCGCAAGTGGAAGTGATGCAATATGGACGCGGCGCTCATACTGCTCAATCATCGCATACACCTCATAAAGTGAAGAAAGCGTCAACATCGACAAGATCTAAGAACGAGGTCCCTTAAACTCATCATGAAGTCCCATAAAAAATTTGTGAATCCTATCCTCTTGCTCTCGAGTATGCAAGAATACTGCTCCCTCGGGCTCTATCCTCAGAATAACAGCAAGAGGACGTAGAGTCTCATACTCTAGCCAGCACTGGGTCAAATAGCCATAATAATCCTGAACAGTCATATCTCCCTGCCGAGCATATGAGAGCTCCTAAGAAAGCTCATAAACACAAACTTCCCGTCCTGACTAGGAATACATCTCTGATAATGCACTCCATAGCTTCGGAACAGAGCTATGAAACTGATGAATCCTGAAAACCGATGGCTCTATCGAGCCAAATAACCATCCAAGAATGACACAATTCTCAGAGAACCACACAGAATAACCAGGGTCGGCATCAACTGGCTTTAGGTGAGATCCCGTCAGCCAACCAAGCTTCCCTACACGGCCTAAGAAAAGTTGGAATGAGCGAGACCACTCAGCGAAGTTATGGCCATTCAACAACTGTGTCATAACTTTCTGAGAGATCATGCCTGGCAATGCTAGTAATGCAACTGTGCCAGTAGGTACTGTATAATGGTCAAACATAAAAGTGGAAGTACCAATACATATCTGAACGGTAGAGGTGTCAACAGTAGGGATCTCAAGTCCCTTAGTAGTAGTCATATTAACAACAATACTAGGGCACCCGTGACAAAAAAATAACTCTAAAATAAATAGAGGGATAAAATAAGAGAGAACAATATACCTCCAGTCGAACAGTAGTGACAGATAAAGAAAATCCAAAAAGTTCCCAAATAATCAGGTCACGATGTCCAAAAATCCAAGAAATATAAAAATGATCTACTGCATCAAAAACAGATCAACTAATCATCGAAGAAAAGGATCCACCCCCTCCTAAAAAGTCCTAGATATTGCAACCTGACAGCACTATGACGAAGTGTGCGAAAGACGAAGCTACAACAAAAAAGAGACCCAACAGTGGGCAGATGAATGGGCTGGTCAATGACCTAGGTTGGGCAGTGGGTCGCTAGGTTGGGTAGTGGGCTGGTTTGGGTTAGGCAATGGGCTGGTTTGGGTTGGGTTCAAATGATGGCTGGTCTGGTATGATAAAATATGTTCTGACTTGGGTTGATTTAATATGGGCAATTGGTTTACTGCCTTGGGTTTATTTAATATGGGCAGTCAGTGAGCATACTGTTTGAAGGTGGGCTGGATTGAGATTGATTTAATAAGGTGAGGAGTTGGTTTGTCGGCTGGAGTGGAGGCAGTCGGTGATTCAGTGGATGGGCAGTGGGCAGCCAGTTTATGCTTGGAAGGTGGTCCGTAGGTGTTGTGCTGAAGATGTGCCTGATTTTGGCGGGTCGCTGGTAGGTAGAGACAGTCGGTTTATGTCTTTGTCTCACTAGTTGCGATTATTGGTGGGTTATGGGATTTGTTGGTGCAGCAGGGATACTGTTCGCTGTCGGTATTTGGTTTCGCTGGGATTTGTCGGTCTAGGTGGGTATTCGGTTTTGCATGTGAGGTTGTTGCCTTTGTCGTGGATTGAGGTTGTTTGTCGCAAGTTGTCGTGGACTAGTTTGTCTAGGATGCGGCTGGGGACTAGTATGAGGATAGGCAATCGGTGTATGGACTGTTTGTTGGTGGAGTTGCTGGCTGTGGGTTCTGGTGGAGTTGCAGTCGATGAAGGGTTAGGGTTATGGGTTTTGGCTCTGATACCAACTTGATGTATTGGTGAGTAATAAGGGATACAAACTAAGTGTAAAACCCCCGTATATATAGTAAATGAAAGTTATAATAAGGATAAAAAGGTAAAAAAGAGAAAAATCTAATAAACCCTAATAAACTAGGCTGCTATATCTCCAACACAATGAAACAACAGTCGTTTTGCCTTTCATGTAAGGATTCAAAATTGTGCTAAAGCTTCAATAAGGAGGATGAAAATCACATAGTACTATAGCCTCTCCCCATTGATTCAATCATAATATTTCTTTTGTAATCTTCACAAAGAAATCCTGGATCTCATTTCCTTTTCTCGCAAGAAAACAACACTTTCATTTCATAAAGAGTAGTAGAAGCACAAAAATGGTGGATTAGTTATCCAACTGAATATCAAAAGCAAAAGCGAGTAACACTAGAATAGAACCTACTTACAATCAGAAACTAGTTGTCAAGTATGTTGCAACAATGACAGAGGGAACTCTCCAAACTCATTAATCACCACATACCACAATGATAAAGCCTTTTTTGTTTTCCCAATGTCATAAAACAATCCTCAAGTAGAGACAGAACATCTTGCGAAATCACCCACACCAATCTGGCCTCACTAGTACCTACCGGAACAATGAAGAAATAAATGATCAATACTTTCTCCACTTGCCTTACACATCACACTATTGAGGAGAAAGACAAGCGTGACCATCCCTTTTGCAACCAGTCGCAAGTATTAACCTTACCATGAGTTGCAGTCCAAGCAAGCACCTGCACCTTACAGGAACTCTAACCTTCCAAATCATCAAGTGAGGTCCAAAATCGGGGATAACGGGAATATCAATTAATCAATGCGAAAAGGAATTGCAAGAAAAGACTCCCGCAGAATCAAGTGACCACAATCTCTTATCAGTGACCTGTGGGGTCAAGGAAACTGACTCAACCAAACACAATAAAGATGGAAGTTTCAAAATTTCACGGTCATTTAAATTACTAAATAACTTAAAATTCCACCCCATTGAGAAGAAGAGGAGCATATCATAACTTTGGTAGAACTGGACAATCTAAATAAACGAGGAAACATGGTAGCAAATGCAGACACTCCTCTCTAAATATCCTCCCAAAAACATACTCTCTCCCTATTCTCCTACACTCAATTTAAGATGTTTAGCCAAGCAGTCCAATCCTTGAGAAATAAATCAACACATGAAATCCTCTAATCAGAAACTTGCAAGGCATTTCGCATTTGCTTGGGTAACATCAACTAACCCAGTAATGATCTCGATCTTAACAATAAAAACTTTATGTTGATATTTATCTGAACAACCACCACAAACTAATTGACATGAATCTATACACCCCACATCCCTTATCTTTCTAAGCGAGTAAAATTGTGCTATTAAGTAATAGTCAAAGAGGTAAGTGTACTACAATGCTCTGAAAATTCTCAAAACAGCAGGCAAAGACAACAATGCATGCAAAATGATTACAAAAGCACACTCAACAGAGAATATAGCAGAATTAATAGCCAATGAATCTGTCAAGTTGTTTATTGAAATACACATAATTGGGAAATGTTTATTGAAAAAAAATCAATCAGCTTATTACTTATATTTTCATGCGGCACTCAATTCTCTCATCATCCCTAAAATTTAAGAGCCCCTTTTTCTTGTGGGAAACCAAGGACCCAGGCAACTCCACCCTAAAACAAGACAAAGATGCTTAACAATGATCTACGGATGTCATAAATTTCCACGACTTACACATGAATTTATGATTCATGCCAAAATAAGATATAAACTTGTAATGCACAAAATAAAACAACTGGTATCTTTTGACCTCGGTCTATTTTTTGGTACGTAAAATAAAATATAAACAATGATGTCATATTACAGGTCCTCAGAACTGAAATAAATGTTATACGGTTCACAAACTCAGATGTTGCCATTCTAAAGCCCACAAAAAACCAAAGTACTATCAAATTAAACAAGATTATACAAGGAAGAAGAACAAAAGTTTTCAAAGAGATGGAGACTAATATATGATGAAGAATCCCAAACGAAAGGGCCCAATACAAACAAAATGGACAGCAAACTTGCTTTATGAAGAAACCTCAATCAATGGTTCCTCTTAACCAATAATATCAAGGGATCCATAACTCCTAGTGAAGGTTGACAGGAAGGGATCAAGTTATAGTTTAGTGAAAACTTTGACAACCCACAGACGAGCAGAAGGGAAGAGAAGAGAATAGAAGAGAGAGAACGAGATAGAGAGAGAGAGAGAATGTTTTACTATAGAAAATAATGAGACAATGATGGAGATTGGGGACACGACAACCAAAGTGGTTGAATCCGCAAGAATAAAAATGCTAGTAGAGTCAATATAGTACAACTTCAGCTCTCCCAAGAAAGCATTCAGCCCTTTACGAGCTGGAAATCAGTAGTTTGAATCTCACCTTGGGGACACTTCTGGAGATTTATCTTAGTAATTGCCCAGTCCAAGTCAAATAAGGGTACAGCTAGTACAGCATGTGTACAGATTAAGTGGGCACTCTTAAGGGGCCGAACACCCCCTACATGGCATAAGTGGTAGCATACTACTACCACTGATTTTCCTCCAGTTATAAAACTTTGGAAAGCCAAATTGATGCTCTCTTCGAGAGACAACCCCCACAAAAGACAATTCTCAGTGACATTGTTTCTTTTAACAAGTTTGTATAGAAAGTAACATAAAAATATTGGCACTGTCACATCTCACGAGCACTTAGATTGCAAAAATCTAAAAATCACCAAATTTGTGGCACAGCATTCTTATATAAGCAGATTGAAATTTTATCCCAAATTTTCACAGAAATACTGCCCATTTGTTATGGTCTAATAGAGTGATACTTCTGCGAATTACTTAGGTACCAGTGTTGTGGACAGCCCTAAAAATATAAACAGTTTCACTGACAAAGAATTAGAATCACCAATCTTGAAATTCAAAATCTTGTACAATGTGAGTTGATGGAAAATTATAAACTGATTGAAACCTCTTCCACGGAGTTGAAATTATCAGCGATGTAGCTGGGTTGCTGTCTTCTTTGATAATTAGTTTCCATGGAACTTCCTGCATATGAAGGGGGTTGATGTTGAAAATCATCATGACTATCATCAGTAATTGATTCACTATTCCCCATTCGGTGGGATTTTTGTGCTTCAATACCAAATAATCCTGCATAGAGAGTGACAAAGTATTAGAACTTCATCTAAGTACTGTATACTCCCAAGTCAAGTCAAACAGCAGAATTTTTTTCCCCAGATGGAGGATCCATTTCTTTTCAGTTCAGGACAAATTAGAAAAACAGAGTATATTCAAGCTAGTGGGTTAGGACAGGTAGGTTGTTCATCAACAATGTCAAATACCATTATGCTAGGTCAGTATTTGAAGTTGCTGCATGTATATCCAGTTCACTAACATAAAAAGCGTCATAAGGAAGAGCAGAGTCGTTATCTAACATAAAAGGGCATCATAAGGAAGAGCAGAGTCGTTATCTACAGGGAACTATGCTGCAATAAGAGCGACAATAGGGGTTGCCAACAAAGTTTCTGTACACTAATTTTCCCAAATGCTGAACAGAGTGTAGGGCTAAGCCGCTAATATAACATATCAAATCCACATGCCACAGTGGCATACAGTAACAAACTTCTCATTTTAGGCCATAACTTCTTTTATTTTCTATTGCTTCTGATGATTCTGTTCCAGATGCAGAAGGTAGATTGCTTAAAGGAGAGGTCACCAGGAATTTATGCCACAAGTTTTATCTAAGAGTATAAAACATTCTTACAAAGGTGCTTTCTACTTGCACCAAAGCTCAACTAATTCAGCTTTAACTAGTACAGTTTCTAGTGCAATCCAGAATGCTCATCCTACCACAGTTCTTTATTTCAGTCACAATAATTACCAACACGGGGCATAAGTTTCAATTGATAGGAGATGAATGATGGAACCATAAAGTTTGAAACGTAGGTCAAGTACCGAAGCCATCAAGCTCATGGCCCAGTAGAGAGAAACGGAGTCATGAACAAAATTGAATATGTCACCAGATATTCCCCTGCGCAAGTGGTTACAGCTCGTTAACGTTACTTATTACTGATAGTTTTGAGTATGGATAGTCACAAGGCAAAGGTAGATTTTTAACCACTAGTGGGTGATATCAGTATTAGAGTTCTAGAGTATGTTCTTTGACTATGAAATTCAAGTCTGAAGTTGAAAATAGTTCAGGTAAAAAAATAGCAAAGAAACAATACTTGATTGAAATGAGAGAAGGCATCTCGGAAGCATGGATACTTGAAAAATGCTTTCATATCTACATCCGATTCATATTGAATATGGATACATGTTCAATATGCCACGATACATACTGGATACACCCCATAAGCATCTCAAAAATAATAAATAATCTTCTTATTTTGAATGCGTCTTGAATACGGGGGAACGCGTTCTTGATACAACCATGGATACATTATGGGCTTTGGTGTAATTTTTAATTTTCAAAAGAAATGGGCACTGAAGTAATCATCTAGGTTTTTGTGTAAAATCACAAGTCATAAGGCCCTTATATGCAAAAATACAACGTTAAATCCTAAATAAAAGACCTGATTATTCAAACTGGAAAAGAAATTGGTTCGTTATTCTGTTACCCTCTTCATATGCCATAATTAATGAACTCTCGGGAGTTTTGGGCTACAAAGTGATGAATCCATCATACATGCCAGATGGAAAAATTCTATCTTCTTAAGTTCTTCAACATTACCTATCACTTCTTCGAGCTGCTCCGGACTTTTGAAACTGTTCATTAGAACCCATCAAATCTCTCCTAGGATTGACTCCAAGATTTTCAAGTTAAACCCAATACCCAATTTCGACTCATCGTCCACTATTCAAAGATCCCTTTGGTGTATTTGACCATCACTACTTTCCTTCGCATTCCTCTCTCCCTTCTTTCTCCCAAAACCTTTCATATGTGGTTTTGAGAGCTACAGAGGTGGGAAAAAAAGAGGTAAAGAGGCAAGACACCTCGCACAGGTCATAGGCAGGGAGAGGAGAGAGAGAACATTAAGCAACTAAGCTAGAGAAGATAAATGGTTACAATGCACAAGACCTTGTGTAATGTCTTGATCAAGCATGTAATGGGTTTCTTATCCATTTGGTAACTGTTGTTGTGCTGCTATCCAAGCCATGATTTCATTATGTTTTTCTTGGTGGTGGGTTCTAATGTTAAGCCCTCAATACCATTCTGTTAGTAGCCCCATGAGCTCCCATGTAGCTAAGGTGGCCCCATTTGTGCATTAGAGTTTGTTGCACATAGATCAAGTAACTCCTCTCAAACCAATATATGACCCTTGTGGGCCTCTCCACTCATGATTAATTGATTTTCAATTTGCTTTTGGAAGTTTTGGGTAAGTATCTTCACCCGATGTCAAAGTATGGGATGTTAACTACACCTACTCCTCCAATACTCAAACTCAACAAAGCTTTATTTCACATGAATGGTTTAAGTCAAAGACACTTCCTCTTAAATCAAATCTATCTAGAGCCATATACTCTAATCACAAGGTAAAAAAAGGTTGTACTAGTAAACAAACTCCCATCTATAACGGGGATGGAAGAGGTAAGTAGTTAGTAGTCTTACTTTTTTTGGAGATGCTAACTCCGGCCTCGAACCCAGGATATATCTCTAAAGCAAATGAACACTTTCCATTGCCCATATAGAATTTATGCAGTTGATTTTTGTACAACCACCTTCGTCCTTGATTTGGTTCCAGAGTAAATATCAAATATTATGAATGAAAATCTAATATTTTTCAAGATGGTATAATGGGTATTCTATCTTCTTCAAAAAGCTAATCATGTCATTTTGACCAAATATAGTCATATCTCGAGATTTGCAGTTAAACTTTATCCTATTTATTTGAATTCTATCCGTGAACAACATATGAAAACGACCTGAAGAACCTAGGTTATTTGGAATTAATTCTCATTTCAAAAGTATACCTTCATCCTCAACCAATGAATTCTTGATTATCCGCTTTATATGAGTACAGTAATCACTGTTGAAGTTCCATTACTCAAAAAAAAAAATCCCCCACCCCCAATAAAAAAACGATTATTCCATTGCAACGTTTCTAATGAGTCCATAATAAATTCACAATTCAGAAGGCAATCAATCATCTGTTTTCCACCTTGTTCTGTCTGTTGCTGAAATTATTAGGAGAAATGATAAAATGTTGGCCCTTATGCTCTCTCTCCCCCCCCCCGGGGACCCTTCTTCCAACTACAATAAAAACTTACTTCAACAAAGCAAAATGATGCAATGAGCTTAGTTCTGCAACTCAAGATCGATGCAACCACGATACTTATTTTGATTTTAAGCATTGCAACCTTATTCCAACAATTCGAGACTAACAAAGCAAGCAAAAGTTCAAGATTTCTTGTTTTGCTTCAACCAATTGGATAATAATAATATAATCGTCTACTAGCAGGAAAGAACTCCATTTGAAAGTTCCACAACGTTCTACACAACATAAAATTTGCATCATTCGGACTCCTCGTATCAATCTTGAGGTCAAAGACAATCAATTACACCGGCAAGACAACGAGACAATTAGTAATTTTGTATCATCCATACAAGGCAGAAAAAGAGTTTCAGAGGAGAAAGAAAGAGACATACCTGCCCGTACAGCGATGAGATTCAAAATGATTCTACACTAGTTCTTTTCGTTGGGCGACATTTGGTCGTGTATTTGTTTCAGTGCAGTCAACAAGTTGACATAACTTTTGCTCCAATCTCACCCTTTCCCTCGCCTTTTGAGCCCCACCAATTGTATTGGGACACGACATAATTTGCCAACATAAATTCATAGGAAATACAAGACTCATATTATTTTGAGTTATAATTTTTTTATATTATTTTTATAATAAAATATTACTTGATCAATTTATAGTTAAATGACCATACTGAAACTTCTATAAATGTTGACAAAAAAAAAACTTCCAAAAATGCAATGTTTATGTGTTCTTTGCTTAATCCCTGTATCCACTACATCGATGCAATGCTATTATGTCATGAGCAAGAAACACATAAACTACTATACGAATGCAATGTTTAGTTTATAAAAGTCATTTGGGCTCTATGGAGGTTGGAGGCTGGAGGCCGGAGGGAATCATGACAGTTGTCAATTTTTATTTTTCCTCTGCCACTTTTGTTCAGTGATGGATTACCCATCAACTTCATAATAATGAGGTCAGACCAATCTAAACTTCTAGAGGTTCAAAATTCTTTTACTTTCTTTTGTTAAGGTATTACTTTAGTTGAAATAAAATTAAAATGACCATTATCATGTGTGTTTGACGTTTAACAAATGAAATTATTACTCATATCTTTCAATCGACAAAACAAAAAGAAATATATATGACGTTTATATATATATATAAAGTAGCATAGGTTGTAGAAGCCAATGAAATTTAGAATTGATGAGGCTATCATAGATTCAAAAGTGAAAAACTTATTTCTACTTTTCATTACCACAGTCAACAATTTCATTTAGAAAACAAATTTATAGCTTGGGTGTTTGCAAAACTATGCACATAAGAATACCTGGTTCAACATTTTTCTCCTCCATTTGCTTTGTCCTAACAGTTTATTCATATCCCAATCAAACTTTAAAGCTATAGAAACAAGTAAAATACTATAGTGGCACTTTGAATGCTAGGGAGGTATGGCATGCACACTTGGTATATCACTTTGTCTGCAATTCTGATTCCAAAACTTGAGATAAATTGCCGCACAAATAAACACTAATTAAAAATATGAAGAGGTAATCTTAAGAAAAAATAAGAAAAAAAATTTATGCAAATCATTGAAGCGTGCCCTTTTTTTCTTTCTCTTTGAATGAGCATAAAATTGATATACACTCCAACAGTGCAGCCATTTCATTTGGCAAACAGTCTCAAGCAAACTAAAAACCATGAATTTAATCATTTAAATAGTTCCAAAACAAATTGTATTCAATAGATACACCAAGAACTCATCAGTCAAGCACTTCTAAACTTTCACGTGACCAACTAATGATCAAGAAAAGCCTTTTAGAAACTGAGTTCATTTCCCCTAAATGGATTTTTCAGATGAAGAAGTACTTTCTAAAAATAATTGTGCCTAGATATGGACATCC